TATATATATATATATATATATATATATATATATATATATATATATATATATATATATATATATATATATATATATATATATACATACATACATATATATATATATATATATATATATATATATATATATATATATATATATATATATATATATATATATATATACATACATACATACATACATATATATATATATATATATATATATATATATATATATATATATATCCACCCATTCATCCATCCATCCATACTATCCACACATGTTCCGACCAACTGAATGTATGTGTGTTTGTATGCATGTTGGTGGATGTATGTATGCATATATATCTGTGTAAGTATGTGTGTGAATTTATGTGTGTTTGCAAGTATGTATGTATGTTTGTAAGTATGTGAGTGTATGTATGGATGTGCGTATGTATGGATGTGTGTGTGTGTGCGCATGTATGTCTAATTAGATGTGTGTGTTTTATGTTTGTATATATATGTTGATGTATGTTTGTATTATGTATGCATGCAGATTTAGCCTATGTATGTATGTATACATATGGATTTGTGTATGTGTGCGTATATGTATGTAGGTGTATGTTTGTATTATGTATGTATGAGAATGTATGAATGTAAATGTAGCTGTGTAAGTATGTGATTGTATATGTGTGTGTATATTTATGTATAATGTGGGTGTATGCAGGTATATGTAGCTGTGTAGGTATGTGTGTGTTTGTGTATTTATAAAAGCATGCAAGTATGTATGTGTGTGTGGTTGTGTGTGTATGCATGTGGATATATGAAAGTATATTTAGGTATGTATGTATGTGTGTAAAGATGTGAGTTTATGTATAAATGTGTGTATGTATGTATGTGTGTGTGAATATATGTATACATGTATGTGGGTGTATGTATTCATATAAGTGTAAATGTGTGGTTTTGGGCATATGTTGGTGTCTGTACATGTGATTATAAATGTGTGTATGCATGAGTGCATGTATATCCAAAAATGTATGTGTGTGTGTTTTCTGTTTGTGCATTTATGTCTATGTATGTGTATGCTTGTATATGTATGTAGATTGTGTACACATGATGTGTGTATGCATTATACTATAATTTATATTTGTTTATTAAATCTATAACATGCATTATTGATAACAGGTATTGGTACTCTGAAAAATGAGTACTTAGAAGGGCCGAATGTCAGACGGGCCTGCGTGCCCAATTTGTAACCCTTTGAAAATAAAGTTTGTTCGTTCGTTCATTCATTCGTTCTTATAAACACATTGTAGACATTGATTTCGATTTCCGATTTGTTTGAAAAAAAACAAAAGTTCATGTCACCCTAACCAGCTCCAATGGTGAGCGGCGGTTATTTTGGGACTGCGTTTATTTGTTTGGAGTATCCAATAGTTTTTTCCAATTGTGACGAACTGCGTCTATAGTCTTTCCTTGCGTGTATTACTAGTCCTGAGAAGGACTCGTAAAGTTTGCCGGGATGGCCTCGAACGGGTGGGAGGGATTGGGTTGGGCGGTAGACATCATGCCTGGCTGGTAGCGAGCTGTGGGGCGTTCTCCGGGCTGGGTGGTGGGCTGGTTCAACTGTCATGGCGGCTGGACTGGAGGGCGTGGTGAAGTTTCTCGAGTTCATCTCTGGACATATGTCATCTGGTTGTGGGCTGTGAGGTTTCTCAGGGCTGGTGGGCGTGGTTGTTCAGCTGTCATGGCGGCTTGTGAGGTTTTCATTGGTTGCTGCATGTTGGCTTTCAACTTGCTACTTCACGTGGGCGTCGTTTCCGTTTGAGTGGGCTGCTATCTTCGTTTTGTTGTTTCTTATGCTTTCGAGTTGAAGATGCCGGGTGGCTTCTTTGAGTTGCTTCACCTCCTTGTTGATTGCTGCGAAGTCGCCTTTCAGGCATTCCTTGAGGATGTATAGGTCTTGTGTGCACTTCTTCTCTAGATCTCCGGGTTTCACGTGTGCGTCGTGGATCTGCCTTTTTCTGTCTTTTTCTTTCTTCGCGTTTTCTCTGGCTTCTATCACTCTGTGCGTGGCTTCGATTACACAGCTGAGTTTGTCGCATTCATTGTTTGTCTCGGCTACCTCTGCTTTTGTTTTTGTCAGGTCTTTCTTGATGGTGGCTATCTCGGAAAGTATACTTTTTCTGGTTGTCTTTCAGTTCTTTGGCGGCTACTGCGTCTGTTTCCTTTAACTTCTTGAGGTCGGTTAGATTTGCCATCAATTCTGTTTTGAACTTCGCCATTTCTGTATTTTCCTCCTCGAGTCTCCTTTGGGTCTCGAGAGATGCCTGCAGGATGCTTCGCAGGTCTATCATCTCGTCCCTGTCCTGAGTCCTGAGTGCCACGATTCGTGCGTTCTCTTCTCGCAGGGATTTGATTTCGTCTCTCAGCTGCGTAATGACGTTGTTGTTCGCAGCTGTCGGACTGGGCGCCTGATATCTTTGCTTCGGCTCTGGATTGTGTGTGGGTCCTGGTGGTGGAATTCGCCATCGCTCTCTTGACTTCTTTCAGGTACGGGCAACCCATGTACCTGGCGCTGTGTGCACCGGAGCAGTTGGAACATCTTCTGCTTGCGTTCGGCTTTTTAAAGTCAGGGTCCACTTTTGCCAGAGGGCATTCCCTGAATAGGTGAGGGCCGGAGCAGTACCGGCACGATGGGCTGCTGCGGCATGACGAGGCAGAGTGCCACGCCTTGTTGCAGCGAGAGCACTGCAAAACTTCTGTGGTGTAGGCTCCCGGTCGTTGCTGCTGCTGCCTGAGTGGGCGGGTGTTGCTCGGTTCCTGCGCCACGACTGGGGCGGCTTCCGGGAAGACGGGTGCCTCGATAGGGCCCACATCCAGGGCTGGCGGCGTCTGGGTGTGTGAGGCTGGTGTCTCCTCCGGGTCGTCGACCGGTTCTGGCATCGTCAGTTCTGGTGCGGCGACAGGTGCTTCCTCCTTTTTGGCTGAGGATGCTCTGGTGTCCCGGCGCTGGACCGGATTCTTCTTACCACGGGCCATGGTTTCGTGTGGCTGAGGCTGGTAAGTCGGGCGGCAATTGATTGTTCGGTCCCTGCAGAGTCTGGCAAGGCTTGTTAGAGTATCCTAAAAAGGACACCCAAGCGTGCTTTTCTCCGCAGTTCTCGAGACAATCGTTGGCTGGTATGGCAGGCTCCTCAACAATGCTGTGTTCCCGGGCCGCTAATAACCCACCCGCAGACGAATAACAATAGTCTAGTCGAGCCAAAACTCAGCCGAATGTCAAGCGAGTTCTGACCAGTATCTAGCTATTGATAATCTGGCTGCGAATGAATAGTTACCGGCTGACGAGAGACACGTGGCTGAATCGGGCGGTAAAGCGAGCGAGCGAGAGAGAGCTGTGTCCGACTGGGCTGTCTCGATGGATGATGATCCATTGTAGACATTAAAAGTGCCTGAAACTATGAAATCTAACAAGGTCTACAGACATAGCTACAAGTGTATGTTCTATTCTCGAGCTTATTTCTAGATTTATATAAAACAGGACAATCTGCGCTGAGTACCAACAGGGCGCTGAGTACCAACAGGACGCCCAGGCACATTTAAAAAAAAAAAAAGCTTAACGGTCACGCTGAAAACGGGACTTAGGTCACCATATCTGTAATCCAAGCGACAATCCCTAGAGAGTTCTGCGGCTACTCTTATTTACCTAAACACGTATCAAGCCAACTAGACTTTTATACTGAAGAGCCGACACAGGATAGACAGGACATTAGACCTCTCCACCCCCGCCCCACCCCATTTTTTCTTTCGATCCACAAAATTCCCCTCCCTAAACCGTAAAAATGTACTAGGCAAGAGAGAGAGAGAGAGAGAGAGAGAGAGAGAGAGAGAGAGAGAGAGGGGGGGGGCGCTCAAGGGGCATAATCCAAATTTAAGACCACAAAAATAATAAAAATAATAATGTGCTCAAATGCAAATAAATATAATAATATACTTAAAATGTCATGAAACGTATAAATAAATCGTTGAAAAGAGAATTTCTATACGTGGTTAATAGTGGTAATATAGCCGCTTTACATTCATTTCAGAACTGTGTGTTCCAGCTGTGTGTCATATCTGTTAATCCGTCTGTTTCTCTGTGTTAGATCGGCCTACTGTTCCATGTGTGTTATATAGCACAGTTTTGTCCTTTTAAGGACAAAATTTTTTGCTATTTGAAGCCCCACCCTGACTTTTGCCAGGGGCCGCAATATAGGCAGGCCAAAAATATGGCCAATTGCCTAAACGCGGTTTCTGGGACCTCTCCACGGCGATCCTCATCCACATGGTGGCACTTTGTGTCATCGGGTGTTTATCGATTGTGTGATGTCCTGGTGGGGGAGAAAGTCAGTCAGTCAGTTCCATATGTGTCTTACATTACCTACAGATCATATTACTTTGTAACCGTGGGAGCCACAATATAACTTTACGATCGAATGGGGTTTATGGGGTTTGTACCTGGGGATTCTCATCCCAATAAAAAAAAAAATCCCAATAAAGTGGCGCTTTGAATTTTGCATGACAGGGTGTTAAACTTCCTTTACACCGGTCTACTTGCCCGTCTTCCGCCTAGTAGATAGAATTTTTCTTAGAATTCATCGGTGGTAAAGTCCGGCGGACAGTTTTGGGTTGTTCCTCAACTTCTGGACTTTGGTCTTATTACAGATCTTGATTTTACGTGCACATCCGTTTTACAGATATGGCTTATTTATTCAAATGCGCTACGACTTCGAGGTAAACACCTTCTATTAGTAAGTTTAAACAGCGTGCTTTGGGGTGGGGGGGGGGGGAAGTGTGAGTCTTCTTTTTTTCCAACTCCCCAAAGGAACGGGTAACATTCAGTTGAGTTGAGTCAAGAGTTGACATCACAGCACTCGGGGCATTCCCATGCGTGCTCCGTCCTCATTTTCAGCAGCCAGTGCAGAGTTCCAATACTGATACTACCGGTCATAATCTGGTTATATGTCCGTCGGTAACATTGAATACATTACTTACCAAAGTAGACAGGTTTCCCGCACTTTGCACACAGCTTGCTCATATTTACACCGAAAGGGCATTTGTACTTCCAGAAGATTCGAGAAAATACTACAATCCAACCTGAGTAGAAAATTGTTCACGTTCCCAGCACATGCTGCAGCACCACAGGAATATATTGTCTCAAGAAGGCACGTCTATCTAAGGATTATACATAAACAGTTTACATTAGAGTTATACTTGAAATGTAAAGTAGCTAACAGGTGAACGGTCACAAAGACGTCGGGGAAGGGGGGGGGGCGCTCTCAATTAACTTATTATTTAATAGTGCGCAAAGAGGGGGGGGGGGGGGCGCTCAAGTAGCTTAAGCCTTGTTTCTTCTTTCCTGCCTTCTAACTCCCAGTGGAACAAAGGCTCTCAATCCACTCACGCCATGTTGTTCTATCCTTCACTATTGCGTGCAGCACACCCCATGACCTCTCCATCTTTTTAAACTACACACTCTAGCTTCCTTCTCTATGTGATTTTTTCCTTGCCTTTATTCCCATGCCCGTGTAAGTTCCAGTCTTGTTTAATGGCTCAAAAATAATAATATGTATTATTTGTATATTTAAATAACTAAATGTAATAATAAATTTGAAACAACATAAAATGTACCAACTAAAAAAAAAACGTTTATAAATGGTTAGGGGGACACTTAACCTCCTTGTAAGTCTTTCGGAGAGGGAGGAGGCTCAAAACCCCTATCCCCACAGCCGTCAAAAATCCTATATCTATATATCTATATATCTATATATATATATATATATATATATATATATATATATATATATATATATATATATATATATATATATATATATATATATATATATATATATATATATATATATATATATAACCTGCAGTGTACAGAATGGGAACAATGACAGAGCAGTGACCTGTTGATTTGCCTGCTTCCCCTGTGTTTTGCTTCTTCTTCTTCTTCTTCTTCTTCTTCTTCTTCTTCTTCTTCTTCTTCTTCTTCTTCTTCTTCTTCTTCGTGTTTACCGGCTATCTGCTGCAGAAAGTTCTGATTGATCGGAGACTTTTGGTCTTTGGTTTTGATTCCAGAACTCGTGTTTTGCGTGCACGTCTGTTTTCTAGATGTGGCTTATGTGTATGCAGACTTTTGACTCCTCGACTCTCAGGCTTTGAAGGAAACACCTATAATCAGTCCATGTTTGCGACCCCTTATTAGATAGCAGTGGGTCTTTTCTCCCCAGCCGCAATTGTGTCCTGGGACCCACGCGTGGATACTTGTCTTTGAATTGTCATCTTGTTTACACATATCATTATTATGAAAAGGGGGTGGGGGGGGGGTGTCTGTGTTAAACTGCTTGAGCTTTCAAGAATGTTGGTTCGATTTTTGACTGTCCTTCTGCTCACGAAAACAAGTTTTTCCGAGATCCTTGGAGATCGTCAATGGGGCAACGGAGTTTGCTACTTTGTTTGATGCTCTTGAAAAGCTACTCAGCGGGGAAAGACAGAGCCAGAATGAATAAAACCAGATGTAATGAAATGAAACATCTCGCATTTCATTAAACACCTTGTAAAATATGTTGGAGCAAAGGTTACGGACTGACGTTTATGTTTATTCAACGGATCAACATTATGACACACGGGTGCAACCCACACGTGCTTCGTTCTTCTTCTAACTCAAGCTTGAGTCCGAAGCATCTCAGCACAGTGCACGAAATCTGTAGCACTGGCGAGGATCCTGACATACTTTGGATAGATTTTAAACTTCAAATTGAGCCCGCGCAACGCCGATAAGCTACTCTATTTGATTTCCAACGGCAATGTGATTTTTTTTACGTGTGCAACAATATACACGGGCGTACGGTCTTACTACCCAAAGACTAGAGGGAAATTACTAGAAACATTCCCAGCCCTCGCCGGGGCTGTTACAGACTTACCAATTAATGTACTTATGTCGTTTCAACTCTGATGTAACGTAAAATGCCGAAGAAAACAAATATACGTTACTGTTTATACAAATAAAACAAGAAACACAAATCATCACACACTTTGTAAAAAAAAAAAAAAACCACAATATCAGCAGCACAACGTTGCACCCACCGTGAATACATGCCAAACAACTAAGTGATAACATTAAGAACAATTCACACTATCTCGGGACGTTATCTGCACCAACTAGACAGGATTTACAACAGTGTCACGTTACTGGTCGCTGTGTACGCAATACGACCAGGAGACGATGTGTGGATCTTTTAATTATTGACGTTGCTAAAGGATCAACGCCCATTGTGTTTATGCGCCACAGTGTTGGGGCCCCGCCCTGAAATTTAAGACATATTTCGTACATTGTAGTGTTGTAGGAGTTAGAGAATTGTCTAGCTCACTGGTTCCCAGTTGCTGATCTGCGGAACACCAGCACCTATAAGGTGTGCGTGTTATCATTTTAAAAAATAAAAAAATAATCTTTGTTTTTGTTGCGATTCTAATACACATCAACTATTTTTGTTAACGATTATTAACATGTAGGTCCTTGGCAGCCTTCGAAAATTTTTTTTAAAAAGGCTTGCATGGGTCTTAACAGGGAATCACTCACTCGTCTAGCTGGCTAGTTATAGTTAAGTAGGCTATACTCCGAATAGCGGTCCTAAATTATCGAGGCGGAAAATATACCCTAACAGGATCTTAGTCAAGTGTCAATTGCGCACTTCCGTGGACTATAACGCCACCGCTGAATTGAGAACTTCCAGCAACTTCCGCCACCGCCGAGTGTATCTCCCACGCCGCTCACGCGGCGTGGATTTGGGCTAAACTAGATGGCTAGGAATCACGAGCAAATAAAATGAAGGAAGCTGCAGGAGATGCGGTAGCTGCTGCTCGTGAGTCCCAACCATATAGTTTAGCCCCAATCCACGCTGCCTGCGGCGTGTGGGATACCCTCGGCGGTGGCGGAAGTCGCCGGAAGCGTGCAATTTAAGACGACGGAAGTACGCAATTGACACGTGACTGAGGCCCTGAGGGTCTATTTTCCGCCTTGATAATTTAGGACCGTTATTCGGAGGATAGCTGTCAAGTCTTGTGTACTCTTACTTCATTCGCCATACTCTCTGCCTAGGATACCAGCGATAAGCGGCGGAACCTGAAAGTTCGGGTTTTCATCCTTACGTCTTCATCTGGATCTTTTTTGGCCAGGATATTCGCAGGATTCTCATTAGACATTATTTTTGAAAAAGCTTTAGTATATGCGTAATTCCTGCTGTACTTGTCCAATATTTACTGTATAATAATTTGGGATCTCGGTGGTGAAGAATTCAAGTAATTTGCCTCGCCTTCTGAAGGTCATGGATTAGTTCACTTAAAGGAGGCGCCGTTCAGTTCACTAGTGCAGTTTTTATGGAGATCCACTGGGATCCTCGCTGGCGATACGGGGGTCGTGCGACGCTCTCGGCAGGCAGATAGCTGTTCTACGGAGAGACTGAGCCACTTGGGGAAAAACCCGTGCAATGAAGTCGATCCTCTCATCCTTACCTTTACTTTAAGTAAAGTGCATTTATCACGATAATGGAGCCTTAGGCACATGACACCAGATTCATATTTTATAGACTAACAGGCCTTGGATGGGTAAACAACACGATGGGCGCCTAAATTTCCATGGATGTTACATGATACCCATTTTAGACTGGGTCAGTAAAAGGAGTCAGTGTCATTCATAAATTTGAAAAATCCGACTTGGTGTGTACTAGAACCAACGACCTTCGACCCAGCAGGCGGAGTGCCTAGCCGCTACACCACAAAGGCTTCCTCTGTAAGAGTATACCACGGGAAAAATACAAAATGAAAGAACTATATGATATACAAATGGATTTAAAATGGCACAGAAGCGCCAGCGCGCGCGCAAACACACACAAATATATATGCCCACATATACGCACGCGCACATACACATGGACGAATCAACTACCCCAAGGAAAGAACACGTTCACTGCCAGGAATCTCATTTCCTGTGATCAGTTCTTTCCAGAAAACAATCAGTTTAGGATTTATTTTCTGACCTCCGGGGTTTTTACAGTGTCGAGGTCGAAAAAAACAGGGCGCAAAACAATAAAACAGGGAAGCGATCGCACGCCAAGAAAGATGATCCCACTTTCTTCCCGCTATAGTCTCTGTTAATTGTTTTTGTTTTTGTCTTCGGTGTCTGTTGCTTATGCGTTGTGAACGCGTTTTATAACTCCAAGGCGATTAATTCGATTCCAGCTACGGGGATTTGGCCGCAGACTGCTTTGCGTTGATTTTAATCGTGGGTTTTGCTTGTTTTTCTCGTTTATAATCCAGAAATGCAGTCTGCTTTTTCTTTTAATCTCTGTTACTCATCTCTTTATCCCATTGTTTATCTCTCGTACTGACTGATTATTCCTTTTTCGAATATCCAAATTTCCGTTGGCGATTTCTTCTTCTCCTCTCTTTCTTCTTCTGCTATTTCGAATTGGCAATAGCTTAGCTGAGAGCTATCGTGCAGTGGGGTGGTGGTCTTTGGGCTTTGAGTTTCCATGTTTCGATGTCGATGGAAGTAGCTAGATGCTCGTCGCTGGTCCGAAGGTTAACGGGTTCAAATCCGTATAGAGAAGACAGGAGACGATAGTGGCAGCACTTATTCTTGAGGATGCTTACATTAGAGTCAGATATGATATTTTGATATCTGCGCTCATTGACAAGTGAGTTTGTCCCTGTCTTATGAACAGGAAAGCAGCTGTCCTGCGCTGACGTATGGTTGCCCTTTGCCGGGTACATGGACCTCAAAACTATGTAATATCGTCCCGGGACTACCCCAGAGTTCGGCAATTTCACCAGTGTTCTTCAATATGTATGCAAGCAAGACTGCAGAACTTGAAGCATCAGGTGTTAGAAAGATATTGACATTTGCAGATGATGTACTTGCATATAGACAGGGGAGTGATAGGCAACGTATTGCCAAAATGCTACAGGCAGCTGTAGACAAAGTGAATGACTGGTGTGCAGAAATGGGTGCTGTCATCGACCCAGAAAAGG